CAAAACTTAGCTCTTAAATACTCTAAGTGGGTACTGCTGCCGATTATTATTGTCGGTGAATATCAGTCACGGCATAGTTATCTAAGGCGACTGGTTCCATAAGGTATTTCTTATAGAGACGTTGCTTGTGTTTAATCCTTTGGGCTCGTTATTTTGTGTGAACAGGTTCGTAACCCAGCTTTAATGGTGCAGAACTTTGGCCCCGTCTACACTACTCCGGGGGGGTTTGAAAACGGAGGTTTCATTCTGGAAAAGCATCAAATGTTTTCCGTCCACACTACGCCGGAGGAATTTTAAAACGTAACAATCACTAGTCATTTTGTATTTTTGTTTGAGGAAGACTCGGTCTGGAAATCACATGATTATCATGACGTCTAGGTTGTCGAAAAGGTCGGTTTCCAATATTTTTTCCGTCCACGCGAAAACGAAAAGCTGTCGTTTTCAAATTCCTCCGGTTTAAAGGTTTCGCTGGAAAAGCCCCGTTCTCGTGACTGATTATAGGCCTAAACGTTGACTTCAAGCTACCTTTTCAAATTTCTAAGGCGTAGTGTGGACGCTGCCTTAGGGCCTGTTTACAGGGAGGGAGGTTCACCCTAGCAAGCGGGTTAACCGTAGTTGAAGGGCAAAAGATAGCCCAGGTCTACAAGCAAAAGTTCATAGGTAGGATAACCCTACAACCCGGGACAATTTAATGCGCGGTTACAGTCAAAGGGTCTGGAAACAAGTAGAAAGTTAACCCGGGTAGGCTGGTTAACCCTACTTCGAGTGTTTACAAGGGAAAAAGTTAACACGCCTGCCAGGGTAACCTTAGCACGTAGATATGGTAACCTGCCTACCCGGGTAACTCTTTCTGCCTTGTAAAAACACAACGAAGAAAAAAAGAGAAAATGTGTGAGTGCTAAGGTAACCCGCTTGCTAGAGTAACCTGCTTGCTAGGGTAATCCTCTCTCCTTGTAAACAGGCCCTTAGACATGCGTGACATGCACCTGACATACCAAGTTTGTAGTTGCTGTTATATTCTTGTTTGTACTTGTCTCATTTCCTACAGTCACGTTATTGCTTCTGTTGGTAACTCTTGAAGTAGGTTTAATCACCTCTGGTGGTATACGTGGAGACGTATTTAACTTAACAATCAGTTTTTCCCTTGCTATAGTGA